TGTTTCAATGTATATGTAGGAGAACTTGAGAAGCCTGGTCAGTCTAAGTCCCTAAGAACCATTCTGACAATGGAACTCCATCTCTAGGGAGACTACTGAACTCAATCCAAGATTGTTGTTGCTGTTATGTGCCATCGAGTCAGACCTGACTCATAGCGACCCCTCCTTGGGTTTCCGAGGCAGTATCACTACGGAAGTAGATTGCCCCATCTTCCTTCCGAGGAATGGCTGGTGGGTTTGAACCACCAGCCTTCTGGTTAGCAGTCAGGTGCCTTAGGCACTATGCTACCAGAGTCTTCCGGAAAAGGTTCCATACATCACAGTGTTAGGCTCGAAGTGCCAGTTAATCAGCAGGGATACTGATGATTTCTATCTCAAAATCTGTCTTATAAGGTTATTTTCAACCTTAATATTTATCTTCATTTTAATATGTAATTAATTTTTGCCTTACATTATGTATCAATGAATTAGTATAATCTTTAAAGACAAATGATTATTATCTCTTTAAAAATAAATGCTGTTATCGGAGTAAAATATTATGTTGCGGCACCTTGTATCTCTGACGATTTAAACAATGACAATTACAGGTTGTAAATACGTGATATCGGGCATATATTGGTTGCTTTCCCAGCATCCATGTTCCCTTCTTCCTTTCCAAAAGCTCTTGATTTCTTCGGGGGGAGCCACATTGTTCTGAAGGAGCTGGCCCCAGCGACTGATCAGGAAGGGGCCATGCATCCTCTGCCAATTCAATTAGAATCTCAGGCCTAGTCTGGCAACCCTGAGGCACAGATGTTCTCTCTTCCCTGCTAGACACGAACAAGGATGCAAGTGACCCCAGGAGGCATCAGTGGCCACTTTTAGTTCCTGGAGCTTTATTCGTTTACTCAACACACATTATTAACATTTACTATGTGCCAGGTGTGAACATATAAAACTGAGTAAGACATGATCACTGACATTACGATATTCCTTTCTAAATGAGGGAAACAAGAGAGGGAGCCAATAGGCCAACATTCCAAAGGATTGAGAGGAGAAACTCTTGGAATGGATCAGGTTGGCTGGTTCAGGATCTCTGCCAAGGCAGAAGTGGGTGTATCTGAGTGTCCCTTTTATGGAGTTGATATAATTAAGCATAGCCACCAGCCCTGAAACATTCAATTATCTATGGTTTTAGTAAAATTTCTTGTAGTAACCCAGTTTCAAACGGGAGGGTTGTAAAGTATTATAGTTTCTTCAATGACTAGTTAGTGTCTCAGTCCAAAGTCCAACGTTAGCCTGAAACCAGTTTTCTGGTTACATGTATGTATTTGGGCAGTAATATCAATAATACCGGGAGCTCTGGTAGCATAGTGGCTAAGGCACTTGACTGCTAACCAGAAGGCTGGCGGTTCAAACCCACTAGCTACTCCTCAGAAGGAAGATGGGGCATTCTACTTCCGTAGTGATACTGCCTCGGAAACCCAAGGAGGGGTCGCTATGAGTTGGGTCTGACTCGATGGCACATAACAACAACAACATCAATAATACCATCTTTCACTGTCAAAGAGGCAAAGAAAACAGTACACTGAATATGCATTAAATATCATTTAGGAGCAAGAGACAATGGCACTTTGTGTCTTTTATGGGTATGTCATTCTATGAACGATTCGGATACAAACAACACACTTACCATTATGACAGTAACACTATCTGGCCTATCTAAATG